AGGCCCGTGCCCTGTTGGTTGGTATCAAGTTGTGTCTCCAGAGGGGCATCGATACCTTGGAAGTTGAACTGGACTCGTTGGTTTTAGTCCACATCTTGAATCGATTAGTACGTTGCCCATGGAGCATTCACACGAAGGTGCAGCAGTTGATGGGGGTGGCGTCTCATTTTCCACGGATGCTTCACTGTTACCGTCAGGCGAACCAGGTCGCGGATACATTGGCGAATACTGGTTGTCAGCAGGCTCGTGATGATATATATTTGGCAGCTTCGGATTTGCCCCATTAGCGCGAGGAGCTTTATTTCTAGATAGGCTAGGAGTGCCATCCCTCCGCCAGGTTGTTGTGAGGGAGGGGTAGTTTTTGAGCAATGGCGCTTGTAACGTTGGTTTTTCCGTTTAATAAGATAATCTATTGAGATAAAAAAAAAGGTAAGAGAAAGTGTGTGATTAGAAGTGCTAATAATAAGTTAGTGAATCATAAGTTAAAACAAAAGTACAAGGGAGTTAAGGGAAATAGGCTTGAACCGACGTGCGTCGTTTGTTACCGATTGAGTACACTGCTTGACCAATACTTTCTTACCCTAATTTCCTTGTTTTTATTTCATTTAATTTTTCCTAAATTAACCTTTAAGTCAGCCACTATTTTTGATTAAAGAAAGGTGAAAAACGAAAAAAAAAAAGAAAGAATCTTGAGTTGCCAAGTGTCGGCAATCAAGGAAATGTTTGACCAAATGAGTTTTCTTTCTTCTTATCTTTCTTCTTGGCTCATTTTTCTTCATTTTCCTTCATGGTGGCCAAAATTTTGGGAGAGAAAAACAAGAGGGAAGAAACCTTCAACTACATCTTGATTTAGCCTTGTTTGAGTTGAACCACAAAAACTAAACCGATTAAACCTTCACCTTGGTGCTTGGGAAGCTTGGTGTGGTGAAAGTTTTGGAAGAAGTAGCTTGGTTCTTCACTTTCAAGAAGGTTTTAGAAGGTAAAAGTTCATCCACTTCTTGTCTTTACCTTAATCTTGATAAATATGCTATAGAGGTTTTAAATCTTGGAATATTATGGATGATTTTCTAGTTTTGGGTTGTTTAGTGAAAATTTCAGCTAGGGTTTTTTATTTTTCAGCTTTGATTGTGTTGTTTAACTAGCAAATGTTGGTATTGAGCTTGGATATGGAATTTGTGAGGCGATTAATGGCATGATTGTGACTTTTTAGCATAAAAAGATGAATTTTCAGCTTTGATGAGAAAATTTCAGATTTGATAGTAGTGGAATATTTGATAGATATGAGTTATATTTGGATGATTTTTAGTCTAGATGAAGAGCTATATTGATATGCTTACTTGTGGTGGTTGAATTGCGTTGATTGAGGAAAAACTTGAAGCCTTTCATGGCTGGAAAAAAAATTGGTAATCACAAAGGAAGTGCTGCTGAAATGTTTCCAACAGGAGACTCTGAGTAGTCTTGGAAAACATGTCATATCTTGGTGTAGAAAAATCCAAATCCAAATTCAGTTCTGCTTATTGCGTTTGAAACTAGATTAAGATTAATTTCTACCATAAAAATTTCAGAATTTTCCTGAATTCCTAAGAATATCTGTGATTTTCCAAAATTGACTGAATTTTCATTCCTGTTCTGTCTTTCTACTGGATAAAGTAGCCACTTGAGATTGGAATTTTACTGATTTGTGGACAGAATCTTGCAAAGGTGTCTTCTAAGAAATTGTAACTCTTTGAATCTATTTTCCAACGGTATAAAGTTTATAAATTTTGGACTTAAGAAACCTGAGATATGATTTTTCAAATAGTATCGTGCAAAACTAGAAAAATTCTGTTTTCCTAAAACCAGTGGCGGAGCTAAGAATTGCAATTAGGGGGGGCGAGTCTCTGTTATTTGGACCAAGTCCAAATAACTTTCAAACATTATTGTTTGGGTCCTTGAGAGGGGGGCAAAGTGAAATTTTTTATCAATATTTTGGGGGGGGCCAAAACAATATAATAAAAATTTTTTTACTTAGAAATTTTTTTTATAACAATTGGGGGGGGCAAAGTGAAAATTTTTATCAATATTTGGGGGGGCAAAACAATATAATAAAAATTTTTTTACTTAGAATTTTTTTTTTAACAATTGGAGGGGGGGCGGTTGCCCTCCCTGGCCCCTCCTTCCCTCCGCCCCTGCCTAAAACTGTCCTTACTTTCATTTCCAACTTTAAGTCGGATTTTCTTTGGTTCACCTAAACTTTGGATAGTTGAACCATAATATTTTCTCTTGGTTATTCTTCGAGTTTGTTGGTGATCAAGGGCATAATCCGGAAGGAAACTTTTGACGTTATTTTGCTTAAACTGGTGAGTGTTCTTTGCATGTTGTGTTTCCAATGACTATGTGAATTGTTGTGAATGTTTGCTTGAATGGTAACTGTTTTTCAATGATTGTTAAATGAATTTTCGATAGGCAAGTGTGTATTTTATCGCACTCGACCTAAGTGAACGTGAAATTTTCAATGATTAAATGATTGATTGCAACTTGTGCATGAATGTAAGCCTTTTGGCTGAACTGGACCCTTGCCCTTTGTTGCCAGTCAACTTGAGCCAGAAGCAGATTCGGTTGGGCGGCTGGTGACCTTGGGACAATGTTTGGTATATTCGAGTATTACCATGAAATCTAGTGGAGAACTGGCGTGGATTCAGTGCAATGATATCAATAAATGAATAACAAGAACACTAAAGGAGTTTTCACTTGCAAATGTTTTCTAATGTTGGAGGGATAAGAAAAATGGTTGGCGAATGAATGAATGAATGGCTCCAAGTGAGAAGGTATCCTTCCAATGATTGAATGTTTATTTCTTGAATGACTGGATATTGTTGTGCAAAGCATGCAAATTGTTAAATGTAATGTTTTCATGGTTTCCCTACTTGATTGCTTGTTTAGGAACCTCACTGGGCTTTTAGCTCAATTCTTTAGTTTTGTTTTTCTTACAGGGGTGGAGGCTGGAGCAAGTAGCGCGCCATGAACTAGTGTATGTAATCTCTCGTACTTTTACTTTTGTAGATGGGATGTATTTGGAATGAAATCCTATATTTTACTCTTGGACTGTAAATTAAATTTGAATGGTTGGTTGGAAATGGAACTTTTATATTAATTTTGAGGTTTGAACGGCTATTTTAAGAATGTTAGTGAGTGAGTCCTGGTGATTATTGGACAGGTGGTCCACCAAACCCTTGGGTACACCCTAAGGGAAGGTGGAGTCGTCACAACTTGAGAAACAAGTCTTACAATCATAAAATACTTCCTAATAAGATACTGATTTGTATATAATAAAACTACCATAACTTGACTCCAATATAATTATTAAAACCCTAACTTGATGAAAACACTACTAAATAATAATGTGAAAATTTTTAATTTTGATCCTTGATTTAATTTGCCAACATTGCCTCCCTTAAATCAAGCTCTCTCTTGGATCTGGTTCACCACCGATCAATAATCTCCCTTGATTTTTGCAGCTCCAATATTCCATGCCCCTGGACAAATTTATCTCGTTGCTCAACTTATTTTTCACTTGCAAAAATAATTCATGCTTCTGGATTAGACTGTTTTCATCTCCCAATTTGATGTCAACTTATTAAAATCACTTTGTGATTTTCATAATAACAATTCAACTAATAGGATTTTTCTCCAATCTTTGTCTTCACAATCACAATCAATTTGACAATTCTTCCGAACTCATCTTATGGTCCAATCCTCACAAATTAGACATTCTATGACCAACCTTGTGATCTAATTCAATCAATTAATTTCTTTGCAGTAATTTTTATACTCTAACTCTAACAGCGGAAAACACCGACAATTAACCCTCGTAATCAAGTCAATTCTTCAATGTGTATAGGAACTCCAAGATCAATTTCTTGAACCTAAGGCTCTAATACCAGATGTAGAACCAAAAAATTCACTGAAAATATATAGGAGATATATTTGATAAAATTAATGTATCCGGGGAAGCAATTCACACACATAAGAATATGTGTGGGAGAAGAGGAATAATATCAATAATAATTTATTAATCACATACCATAATAACAAGGTTCTCAATCTTTCACTCTTTTCAACTAAACACAATAATATGATTCCTTGTTTGTAAACATGATGACTTGATAAACAAGTCTCACAACCATAAGAAATTTCCTAATAAGATACTAATTTTTAAACAATAAAACTACCATACCTTGATTCCAATAGAATTACTAAAACTTAACATGACAAAAACACTACTAAATAATAATATGAAAATTTTTAATTTTGGACCTTGATTTCATATGCCAACAAAAATGCAAAAAAAAAAAAAAAGATCTAGTTTAGTATTATTACTTGAATCTGAAATAGAATAGTGTAAGGAGCAAAGTAAAATAAATTTGTTTGCAAAAAAATCACTGGATGTGAAAAAGTACCTTTAATCCGGACGAGCGGGGAAACATTAAAAGATTTCCATTCTTCATTGTGAAAGTCAAATTGCCCTTCTCCACTTAGAAACACCGGTCTCCATATTCTTGGATTGTTTTGCTGACGTACTATACCACCCGTCTAACGATCACCAAGGTTTCAATAGAGGATGGACAGATAGGATTTGTTTTTCTATTTCTCTGCCTATATGAGTACCCCTTTGTACCGTTGACAAAGTGAAATTACTAAAAATGGGAACGGCACTTTAGAATAATTGAATTTAAAAACTCTTCAATTTGGTAGATGCCAAATAGGAAATATTCAGATTCCTAATTATAAACACAGATCCGCTGCAGCTTTCCTTTCTACATGTAAATCAACCAACCTCTTCCTCTGATCCCACAAGAAAATCGATTAATTGTGTGTGTCCAAGCCTAAACCTTTGGCTCAAGAAATTGTTCAGCGATGGAGGAGAATGCCGTAATACTGAATAAAAGGAACTTCAGTGGTCGAAGAAAGATTCAAATCAAGAAAATTGAGAAGAAGAAGAACTTGCTAGTCACGTTTTCTAAACGTCGTGCAGGCTTGTTCAAGAAAGCTGAGGAATACAGCAAAAAATCTGGGGCTCAAGTTGCTATCCTTGTCCAATCTCCAGGTGGTAGATTCTTTACCTTTGGTGGTCCTGACTGTGCTTCGGTAGACTCCATTCTTGAGCAGTATCTTGCTGGCATGATGCCTTCTTCTTCTAAGAATGGTACTGTTGTTGGTGATCAGGGAAAGAGTAAGCCTGTGGAGATTGAAGAAAATACTATGAAAGAGGAGGTTATAGAGCAGGGATTGATGGAAACTAACCAGGTCAGTGATGGAAAAGAATCTTTGTTGAAACAGCCGTTGGATAATGATGATCTTCAATGGGTTGACGAACTCAAAAACTATATGGTCACCATGAAAGGCCTGGAGGGTGAGGAATTGTCTCAAGAAGATGATGGAACGAACAGGGCTGCTGATGATAATATTAATGGTGATCCTGATTCATCAAGTTTATTGAATCCCAATGTTAGTATTGATTATTTTGGTGGGTTTCCAGTGAATAATGATCAGATCATCGGGGGTGCTGAAACTGCCGTCAATCGTGCGAATCCTGTTTATATTAGTGGGCTACCAGTGAATAATGATTTGTTTCAAGAATATAATGAGATGACCAGGGCTGCTGCAGATGCTGCTTCATCAAGTTTGTTGATTCCAAAAGTTAATCTTGATTATTTCTGTGGTCTTCCAAAGAACAATGATTTCTTTCAAGATGATGAGATGGCCAGAACTGCTGATACTATTAATGGTGATGCTGATCCATCAACTAGAGAACCAGAAGTAGTAGGTAAAATGGTTGCAAAATTAGGTTTTGAAAAATTTCCCATTCAAACACTATGGGATCTCTTTGTTTGTTTCGGTGTTTTCTTCTGGATCTTTTGAAATTATGAGAGCAGAGTCCTGTCCCAAGAAGGTGTTGGGGAGTGGAAACAAAACCCAAAATTAGAAAAATTAAAAATTTAAAAAATAGAAAAAAAAAGGAAAATGGAATATATGGGTACGGTATAATTAATTTTGGCACCACGTTGTGCTTTCATCTCCGATAGAAAGGGCCAAGCCTAGTTTAACAAAAAAGAATGAAAGAATGGAGGATAGCTTGACCAGTTAAGAATGTACCTAGCAATATGCACCTAGTTTTTTTATCTAATTAACAATCCACATTTGAAATTAAGACGAAAGAGGAGTATAATTTTCTATTATCAAATTTTATGATTGTTTGTCATGATTTTGCACGGTAATGAAAAGCGATTGCTTGTCATTATTTTGTATGGTAATGAAAAGCGACTTGTAAAGATGGGGAAAAAAAAAGAGAGATTAGGTAGGATTTAATTGTGCTAATTAGTGTCAATTGCACACCTGTTAAGAAAACAAATCCTTTGTACTTGTCTACAAAAATGTAGTTATTTTTTAAAATCTTTTTCAGGAAGGGAGGGATGAAGTTGAAGAAGAGTGGAGGTGGAAGGAGAAATTGACCTGTGAACTCGACACTTATATGTAAAAGTTTTTGTTTTCTTTAACCGTATTTGTTAGGCACCCTATAAGATCCAAATTATACTCTCTTCGTTCTTATATTAAAATCATTTTTTTTAGAAATTCAAATTTTTATGAAGAAATAATAATCATTATGTTTAGATGAGGTGGCATTGAAGAACGAATTAGGGCTGCCAAGAACTTCGGACGTGCATGAGCGGCAATCCTGGGCATACGATGGTGGCTGGCGGCTCCTCCACGGCGGCGCCGCAGCCCTTGGCGGATGGGGGTCCTTGCTCCCCAAGTACGGCAAAATCTTTCGCACAGCTATTCTTGCGCCTGGTCGAATCTCCAATCCAGGTGAAGCCAACAACAAAATACAAGGGCGAGGCGGCTGTTGTATTCTCCAAAGCAGAGGCGAACAAGCTAGCAACTCCTTTCCACTGGGCTCTGGTGGGGAAATTCTCGTACGGGCGGCCTAGCTTGGAAGGGATTCGTAAGTTCTTCTCCTCCTTAAACCTGAGGGATCAAGTATTCATTGGGCTCCTGGATTATAGACATGTTCTTTTGAAGTGCTCTGCCGAACAAGATTTTAACCGTATCTGGACTCGTGGGATATGGCAACTGGGGAAATATCCTATGCGCATTTTTCGTTGGACTAGGGAATTCCATGTGAAGAAGGAGTCAGCCTTGGTACCAGTTTGGGCATCTCTGCCGGTCCTTCCCGTTCACTACTTTGACAAACATTCGTTATTCTCTATTTTGGCACCAGTTGGGAAACCACTCTTCCTGGATTCGGCAACGGCAGCGGGCACGAGGCCGAGCGTAGCAAGGGTGTGTGTGGAGGTAGATTTGTTAAAACCAATTTGTTCGCGGGTGTGGGTGGCTGTTGAAGGAGAGGGAGGTTTTTGGCAAAATATAGTGTTGGAGAACACACCTAAGTACTGCAGCGCCTGCTGGAGATTGGGCCATTCGGTGGAGGAATGCAAGAAGGATACGCACAATGGTGTTGGGGCAGTGCTTAAGGGCAAACAGGCTCAAGTCGTAAAGCAGCGTGAAGCTGCTGAGGCTGTCGAGGAGGCCAAGGGAGGTGCAGCGACGCCTGGGGAGATTGGGGATTCAACACGAGCGTTGATGGTGGGGCAGTCTTCAAGCCTGGCTGGTGACGGAGGCAAAAGTCAGGCGGACACGGCTGCGGCAGCGGCGACGACGGACCTTGTACAGCAGCCTGCTCGTTCGCTTGTTGCTGATGCGACATTGACGCTGCTGCAGAGCACTGGGCAGGTTGATGGCGCACCAGATTGGGACCGACCCATAGGCACTTTGGCGACAGAGGGAGTCTTGACGGAGCAGGTGGAGGCTGGGGTGGAGGGCATGCGATCCAACGCCGTTTGTGGGCAACTACGGGAGAGTGGGCAGGATGCTACAGCTGCTGGGCAGGAGGGACAGGTTGCATGTGACGGAAGGGAGGGGACGTTGGACGGGGAGCAAGGGGTGCGCGATACACAGCAGGCTGACGCGGGGCAGCTGATTCTGCTGCACAACAGCGAGTTGGGGAGTTTGGTTGTTGATTTGAGTGGGAGTGAAGAGGTGCCTCACGATAGCCAAGGGGACGCCGACATTGGGTTATCGCCTGTGGCAGGGAATCTCTCCCCACGACTGGTTGTTCGACAAGAGAGGGTGGGGGAGTCAGTGGTGGTGGCTTTGAACATTGACCAATCTCAGGCAGTTGAGAGAGATGCCAAGCAAGCGAGAGGGAAGGGTGTGCGTGCTCGCATTCCCTCTGACAGACAGCTTCGGTCCCCGATATCTTCCCATAACTCCTTTCAGGTATTATCTCATGATTAATGGCATCTTTTGGAATATTAGAGGGGTGGCTAAAGCCCCTAATTTGAGACGATTGATTAGTTTAGTAAAGTCTCATCAGGCTAAGTTCGTTGCAATATGTGAGCCCAAACTAGATGTGTCTAGAATTGAGTCCATTCGATTATGTTAACATTTTGATTTTGCGCTTGTGAATTGCTCGAGAGATATTTGGGTGTTCTACAATAGTCCTTTCGTGTGTTCCATGGTTGGTAATTCGAGTCAACATTTATCTCTCTCTGTACAATCTCCGTTGATGCCGGAGTCAATTATAATGTCTTTTGTTCATGCAAAGTGCTCCGTGGAGGAGCGGAGGGAACTTTGGATCAACCTAGTAGCGGATAAGCCTAGCTCTGTGTCATGGTGCATTGGGGGGGACTTTAATGTCATAATGGCTCCTTATGAAAAACGGGGAGGCCAACCGTTTGCTGTAGCTGAGGGGGTGGAGTTTATGTCCTTCTTGGAGGAGGCTGGGGTTTTTGATGTGGGCTTTTCAGGGCCTAGTTTCACGTGGTGTAATAATCGGAGAGGTAGAGCTAGAGTGTCAGAGATTGGACAGGCTGTTAGTCAATGGGAAATGTTTGGACTTCTCTGCAGCCATCTCTGTGGTTCACTTGGCGAGACATCCCTCGGACCATGCGCCGTTGAAGATTTCATTTGCTTCTCGGAGTGACAATAAGCCAAGGCCTTTCCGATTCTTGAATGTCTGGACGACTAAACCGGACCTTTTGGAGGTGATTAGACATGCCTGGGGTCAAGAAGCAAGTGGTTCTCTACTGCGTGTATTGTGCTCTAAATTATTGGCGGCGAGGAGGGCTATTCAGGTTTGGAACAAGCAATGCTTTGGAAATGTATTCGATGCTGTTCGTGAGGCGGAGCAGGCGGTACAAAGGGCTGAGGAGGCTGTGGATCACGATGATTCGGAAGCGGGTCAAATTGAACTCAGGAAGGCTCAAGCGGAGCTACGCTATGCTTTGTCTATTGAAGAGCCGTATTGGAGTCAAAAGGCACGTGTCAAATGGCTTCGAAGTGGGGATCGTAATTCGAGGTATTTTCATGCGGTGGTAAGGCAGAGACGGCCCAAGGGATAATACATCGAATAAAGAAATCCAACGGTGATTGGGTGGATACGGATACTGAGATAGCAAGTGAGGCAATCACGTACTTTTCTAATCTTTTTGCTGGACCGTTGGAGGCTGCCTCCGATATGTTGCACCTCATTCCACCCTTGATTACAACGGAGGACAATTGCATGTTTGAGACAGCTCCTACTATAGAGGAGGTGCATCAAGTGGTAAGGGCAATGGATGGGGACAGTGCAGCGGGCCCTGATGGATTCACAAGTAAATTTTACACCTTTGCATGGGAGGTTATTGCTCAGGATGTTTATAATGCGGTACTCAGCTTTTTCTGTGGGGCAGAACTTCCTCGCTTCGTCACCTCTACCTCGATCGTGCTGCTTCCTAAAGTTTCGAATCCTCAGGATCTCTCTCAATTTAGACCGATTAGTCTGTGCAACTTCTTTAACAAGTTGTTATCCAGAATCTTGGCTGATAGAGTGGCTGGTGTTTTGCCAAGGATTATTTCCCCCCAGCAGTTAGGGTTTGTTAAGGACCGCAATATATCGGAGAATTATCTACTAGCTCAAGAGGTGGTGGCGGGTATTGGGAAAAAAGCTGGGGGTGGCAATGTCGTTCTGAAGCTAGACATGTCCAAAACTTATGACAGGGTATCTTGGTTGCATATTATTGGGATCTTGCGGAGGTTTGGCTTCGAGGTGCGTTTCATAGATATGGTATGGCGGCTATTATCTAATGTTTGGTTTTCGGTTCTGATCAATGGGTCTTCGCACGGATTTTTTAAATCTATGAGAGGGTTACGTCAGGGTGACCCATTGTCGCCGGCACTATTTATTATAAGGGCCGAGGTCTTGTCGAGAGGCTTAAATGCACTCATGGTGCAACCGGGTTTCTTGGGGTTTAAAGTTCCATATGGCTGCCCCTCTATAACTCATTTGGCGTTCGCGGATGATGTGCTTATTTTTGCGAATGGGTCCTCCTCCTCTCTGAAGGACATTATGCAAGTGTTGGAGATGTATCAACGGTGCTCAGGCCAGTTGATAAGTGCCCAAAAAAGTGGCTACTTGGTTCATCCGTCACTGTCCCTGGCTAGAAGAAGGGTGATTGAACGTGTCATGGGGTTTACTTGGCAGCCTTTCCCTATCCACTATCTAGGGTTTCCGCTTTACTTTGGTAGGTGTAAATCTTCATATTATGCAGCAGTGTGTCAGTCTATCCTTGGACGGGTCTTGTCATGGAAATCGAAGTTTTTGCCTGCAGGGAGCAAGATGGTTTTAATCAAGCATGTGTTGTCGTCCATGCCAGTACATTTGCTATCTGCTGCTATGATTCCTTCCTCGATTTTTAAATCCATAGAGCAGGTTTGCCCGAATTTTTTGTGGGGGTCAACGGCCGAAGAGTCGAAGTTTCACTGGATACGGTGGACTCAACTGTGTTACCCGGTTGAGGAGGGTGGGGTAGGGTTTCGGAGGCTAAGGGACGTCTATACAACTTTTTCGTGTAAACTCTGGTGGAGTTTCCGTACGGGAACGTCACTATGGGCTGCTTTCATTCATGCTAAGTATTGCAGAATGGTCCATCCTTGTCAGGCAGAGATGAGGTTGACGGATTCGGCTATCTGGAGGCGTATGTTGAACGTGAGCCAACACGTGGAACTTTCCATGGTATGGTTAGTCAATGACGGGTCGTGTCACTTCTGGTATGATAACTGGTTAGGCAGCGGCGCCTTATTTCTTAGAGCACCAGTTGATCTATCTCTCTCATTTTGTAATTTTATTATCAATGGGCACTGGGACGCAAGTCTTCTGCCTCGAACCTTGCCAGGGGATATTGTCCCATCCATCTTACAGTACCCGGTCCCTGACGGAGGGTGTGCAGATGAAGTCATTTGGGTGCCATCGACGTCTGGTACATTCACATTAGCATCTGCTTTTCGAGACGTCTGACAAGCCCGTAACACGTCGGTGATTTCCTCTAAGGTTTGGCATCCTCGCCTCCCTTTGAAAGTGTCATTCTTTATGGTGCGCTTATTGAGGGGGAGGCTGCCACTGCCGGATGCTTTGTGCAGACTTGGGTTCCATTTACC